ACCAGGGACACGAACACGGGTACGGCGAATAAACGGGTCACGTGAGGGCCATGCCGCCATATATGTGAACTACTGACCGCCATATACGTGAACTACAGACCGCCATATACGTGAACTACTGACCGCCATATACGTGAATTAAAGGGTCAAACTTGACGTGGACTGTTTCACGAAACGATAGTTTCCAGGAGCGTAGTTTACTTTTAACTCAAATAAATTGTAGTTTATTTTTCACTCACTGATATTGCATTACGAGGAGAGTTGGAGTGAATAATGAAGCTGATCCTGAAGTATCCTGGAGTTGCTGTGATGCTCCACTCATTTTGGGGCCCGAAACAGAAAGCGAAATTCTTTCTGTGACGAACAACGGAATGACTCGAAAATTAAGAGTTTCCATAAGCTTCGATTTGGCGACTGCAGAAAAAAGTGATAAGGCCTGTATACACACCAATTGAATGAAATTTTTGTCGATACAAATATGAAAAAGTTTTTCATGTTTTTCATGCAAATTTCCTGAGCGACGCGAGTATTTAATGCTATATGCGTCGTTTATTTTTTTATCTTACTCTCTCTGATCAACCTTCCATGATTCCCTTCCTACCAGACTTGTAATTTTTATTCCAAAACGATGCTTAATGGATTAATAATTACCTCAAAGGCCAGCAAGCGGCGGTATTTCAACAAGGTTCCCTAATCCTGATCTGCATGCAGGTAGTCCATGCAGTATAGGACGTCGCCGCCGGAACGGTGTGGCCATTAGAGGCTCAGCTCAGCGATACATTTTTGCTCCAGCAGCCGCGTTTGAAAGCATATTGAGCGTAGCAACATTGACCAGCCTAAATGGCTGGCCTGCTCGCCGGTCCTGCCAGAACTAACGGAGTGTAGCATTCAGAGCTCTGATGTTGCCTGGAGTAACGGAGTGTAGCGTTCAGAGCTCTGATGTTGCCTGGGTAACGGAGTGTAGCGTTCAGAGCTCTGATGTTGCCTGGGTAACGGAGTGTAGCGTTCAGAGCTCTGATGTTGCCTGGAGTAACAGAATGTAGCGTTCAGAGCTCTGATTTTTCAAGAGCAACTTAAATATGAAAAACGTTCACTGCTCCAGATTACTCGGAATTAATTCAGACCGCCAAGAAGAACATTGCTTAGGATTGTTTTTTCTATATTTATCTCCAGTTTGTTGCGGACAACGTACTTCCAAAAAATGCATAGTATTTTCTGTACAGATTGCATTGCTCACGAGATGTACGCATCGAAACATTTTCCAATTTTTGCCAGTGTAATTCAAAGGCTGTATATTTTACTAAGAACGAAGGTTCCTTAAGGCAATGAAATGTCTTAACTCGTGCCACATCAAGTACAGCTTTATTTCATTATATGTTTCTGTCGTCGATTCCAACTGAAGAAAAATCTGTCACACGCCAGCTCTCTTCGCCTACTGTTCAGTATATATGAAGAGCACGAAACCTTCCATTAGTGTTTTGGTTATGCGCGAAAAGTTCCGGTTATTGATTAATAAAACGATGAGAAATGCTTTCTTTTGAGATTTTCGTCGTGCTTCCCAAATGCGTAAAACAGATACCTAGGTAATTAGCAGAGCACGACTCTGTACTTACCTTATCATTTATTACAGCAAGCTAGACCCGATGAAGAGACAATTTATTCATGGACATGTGAATGAGGGATAAGAGAAGTCGGTTTCTGCCAGGTATGCTAAGTACACGAGATACGCCTGGATACGAGGTCTGAAACCAACTCATTAATATGAGGCGAGGCTACCGTACATACCTATGCCAGATGTGGCTCAGCACTTCAGAAATTGGATGCGTGTTAAGTCTTCAGAAATGATCCGGGAGGAAAGAGGCGGAACAGAACGCATTCGGTAGTACCGCTCATTGAAAATAAGTTTGGGTAGCGGGAGAGTAAAATGGTTCCACGAAAATAGTACGGTACCTCATGGGAGAAAAAAAGTAGCTCATGGGAGATCGCACTTCATAAATCTGCAGCAAAATAAATAGTGCTTCGAGTAACGGCTCGAATAATTTTAATCTTTTATAAAATTAACCTCACAGCAGGTCATTATGATATTAGGAATTATGTAGGGAGCGTTCAAAATTCTGACTTTTGCTTGCTCGTAACACGAATTTAATCGGTGAATCAAGTGCTATAGAAGAGGCAACATTGCTATTTTAGCCACACAAATAAATGCGACATGATCAAACCAATAGGAAAATTAACCGAAAGGATATGCGTAAGTGTGACTCGCACATTCAAGACTTGAGTAATGATATACTGAGTGCAGTAAGATCCCAATCAAATACAGCTGAACCGAAGGTTCGGTTTTCCTTGAGCAGTAAAGAATCTTTGGTATACGCGAGTCGATCAATTTGTACGTTACACCGGCCACGCACTATTTACAACACGACGTACAACATCTAAGAGCCGTTCATCTTCGATACTTGACACGGGTAGACCACTGTAAAAAAGGACGCGTGGTTAGGACCATGTTCACTAGCGGACACACACCGATCCGGCCGCTATCTTATTACGGGGACCCTCAATTGAATTGCAAATAAGCTCTTGCACTTTCGTTCGGGCGTTCGAGATCAAACCCGAGTACTGGGATACACTTATAGTGAGCCGAAGAATACAAGCAAATAAGCCTCAAACTTTAGAGGGTCGCCGTACAAAATTTCACATCTGAGACAACGAAGTTATAATGACGTGTAAGATGACGTTTAGAAGCGCTGAAATACCAATGGACATTAAAGATTCCCACCGCTGAATAGTGTTGAACATCACACAGGTACAAGTAACATATAGCGTGGCACAGTATAGGTACGTCTTGAACATCTTTCAGATATACTGTATACGTACTAGATAGCATTGCGCAGTGACAGAAATTATATATTCCTACGCAGTGATGATATATGATCTCTTCATGTATCGTATTGTGTTTTCTCTAATTATACATTAAATAAGGGAACAATGCTGCTGCCGAGAGGGCAGTGGTCAGCAATAGATCAACAGTTCTCAGGCAAATGAAACTACGCACATGATATCTTCCGAGAAGAATTTCTTTTAAGCATCATAAATTCACTGAACACAAAATGCGAAGAAGGTTGTAATGAACATGGCCCGATCAAAAGTAATGTAGATGACAAAGATGGTCTTCATGGGGCCGTCGAGAAGCACAAAGAGGCTTGGGGTGAAATTTACGTGATTGCTGAACTGTTTATGGCAAGAGTGTAGATTGACTGGAATAGATGTGGCGTAAATGAAAGTACACCACCAGCCGTGATGACCCTTGGATGGAGACGCCTCTAAATGTCTAACAAGAACGGACGTACGAGTTTGAACAGCAGGAAATCAGGATGAAAGAATGGGCACGTTGATTAGTTTTACGGAATCCCATGGAGCAACGGACCGAAAGTAACAGAGAAAAAGCGGAGGCGGGGAAAGCCGAGGTGGCAAATATGGATGGCAGATGGCTCATGGGATCTTCTAAGGCAAGATTAATTAACAATTGGTGCATAAAATTCTGGCCTCAAAAATGATAGATTGATGAGCAGCGCTCAAATTGAGATGCGGACATCATTTAGGCAACTTGGTGATTTATGCCTCGCAGTCGCCGATAATATAATGTCCGAATTATAAGACAATGAATGCAAGCACACAGGGATTCGATATCAAACTCTATATTCAATAAATGATGTTTGCTCAAGTTGCAGGTAATTGTTTGTATGAACTCCTGCACCTCGTACGCAGTTTGTTTGCTAACTAAATATTGTGAGTAGCGTAAGATCATTGAATACTTTGGATAAATACGGCTGACGAGTGACGAACAATTTCAGGTAACAAATTCTGGAATACGTACTGGTAACTATATATGCTAACCAATTAATAGGATTGAAATTATAATGATGAACTATATAGCACATATACAGCAAAAATGTGAAAAAAATGAGAATGGCACAGTAATCATAGAATTAAACACGGATCGGTCAAAAATATAAATAAGTCAATCGACAAAGACAGTTCAACTCTTCAACGTGAGGAAATAAATGAAAATCCACCTTAACCGCTGCGAACAAAGGTTAAGGCAAATTAGTTCTCTCAATCAGTCTAGGGATTGTGAAAGAAATTTTCGCCTTGTTGAAAATAATAAATCTTGAACTGAGGAGAAGCTTTTCGCCATCTGATCGCCAAACCCATAAGCACTCAAACAAAAAAGTTTCTCAAGGTATCATGACTACTTCGATGTTCCATCATTTTACGTTCATACTAATCTTAAACAGTAAAAAAACGTTAAAATAAGTGCATTGAATGAATTAGTAAAATTGGAGTTAATCTCTAATGCAACATCTTAAAGCAAGAGAAACTTTTAACAAGAATTCAGTATTGTCTTTCCTAATTTCGTAAATTATATTTCTAGTTGCATTTTAAACTTTCCGAGGAACAGATCGAAGCGCGGCTCTCTGGAATTTAACATACCATCCATCAGTAACACATTTATTTACACATAATGATTATACGTAACACTATATGAAACTCAGAAGCAAAAAATTTAATACCGTTTGAGATTTAGCAAAATTAAAACGGAATTAATGAACTTAAAGAAGCATATACCTACATAGAAGGAAGACTATGAGTAGCTGCTAAAACAGATTAGGTTCATATGAGTCTTTTAGCGTACTACGGAGAAGACATGAAATAAAACTGCTTGCCTAACTTTCATCAAGATACTTGTCACTTGTCAGAAACATACTAAGTTAAATCCGGATCAAGAAAACCCTAGTGACAGTCACAAAAATCAGTAAATAGATTCGTATGATCAAATAACAGAAACTCATCAAGCTGTAATGTGCATGGCTGAAAAAAAAAACGATAAAAAAAGACTTGTAAGAACTAACAAAATTGCCAGTCGAAAGGTAAAAGAGTTGGCTTCAATCTCCAGGACTAAGCAAGACGAAAGAACATGCAGGCAATTTCCGAAAACTTACCTAGAATGCGTTGCACCTCAGCCTTGGTGAGATATAAATTCAAGCTCCCTGACGTCTCCTGCAGTGTAAACACAAGCAGCAGGAGCCACGAGACACTTGCCCTCCATACGCCACTGCTTAGGGCAAACATGGCTGCCTCAATTGTTTGTACGAGTCAAGGCGTCAATTGGGCAAGATTTCCATCAAATACTGAACGACAAATTCAAGACATCGCGTTCACAAAATCAACAAAACATTTCAGTTCAATAAACGTCCACAGTTGGTGCTGGTTTCATGGTATAAATTGTCATTAATTTGCAAGTAAACTTTAACCGAGCTCAGGTTTAGGAGTTTAACATAGAACTGTTATTTTGTTCGGGGGCAGCAAGTAGAGGCAAGAGAGGCTACAGGGATCACTGGAGAAGGGCTTGGCACACACCCACACACTACCGCGCCGCGACGGCAACTGGCGCCTGCCGCGTGCCGCCTGACGGGCCTGAGAACTGGCAAGTTGGAGTGTCTGTATAGGGCTGGAATTTGAAACGATGGCCAGCGGCTCCTAAATGCTGAGGGTAAAGTTGGCAGCGTCTTCAACAATAAATGAAAATAAAAAAATTTTCATTTTGTAATGAGTTAAAAGTTTGGGCATGGTAGTTTTCTTGATAAATGAGAATGCATTTGATCCTTTTGATCATAATTCAATTTTGGAATCATCAATAAACCACTGTATGAAATGTTGTTCTCACTGGAATATTCTGCAAATGGTGTACAGAAAAGAAGTACATTTAATAAAACAATGCTCATACTAAGATCATCACATTAGCATATTTCAAGTAATTTGCCATCAAAATTCTCCCTACGAAAGAAAAATTAATCATGATATTAATTTGATTTTTCCCTTCTTTCTTTTTTTCTGAACATTTAAAATGGAAAGATTGCTGAAAATTAAATTTTTAGATTTCACCAGTCCGTTCATTCTCATCTTGATTTGCGTTGTCGCTCACGAACCAAAGACCAACACAGTAACGTCTTGGTGCTCATGCCAGACTATATACCGTCCTGACCTCTTCAGTTCATAACTTATTCTCGTACCTCACGAACAAAGCGAGAAATTCCTCGCTTACATTTTGGAGCCATGACAGGATTTCTGTATCCTGAACTTATTTAGTGACCCGAGGAAGAAACGTTACACCCCTCACTACGTCCAATGAGAATCACAAGTATGGATTAAGTATTAAATAATTATGCACTGATGTAGAAACAACATATTAGATATCTATGAATATACATAAATACATAAACATATGAATCATTCAAAAAGAAAGAATGGATTTCAAAATCTACTTAATTTTACCATTTGTGTATTGTATTGTAATGAATTGCTTCATGTCCATGCACGGAGTACAGATCTTTGTAACTCATAATTTGTAAACAAAGTAGTGTTCTTGCAACGGTTCCGCGCATTACATACCTCATCATCGATGATGAAATTTTTATGACTTACCGAAGTTTTTTTCGCATGAATTCTACTCAAAGATGCTATAGGCAATTAAGTGTATTGTTATTCGTTCACGTATCCTTATAAGAGGATACCCGAGAGGATCTGGAAATTAACGCGTCTGCGATATATCAGTTAAACGAGAAATTTATACGTGTATACAATGTGTCTATACCTAAGAATCTGAGCCTATAATGTTTCCTTTTATTTTATTGTTTAATTGAGACAATTTTCTTGAACGAACTATCTAATAGCTCTCTTTGCCGAGCTACAAAATATTTACATATGATACTCCTAAATATTGCTTTAGGACCACTCATAAAAAGTTTAACTCGCATACAAGTCAAGACTCCCCTCATTTACTATGCACTCATTATACCAATGTGGCTAACAGTGAACAACGCACTCGGAATCACGCTTCATGAGCGCTCAGCGATCTTATAACAAATGTCAGTAAACATGGGTGTAGCAGTTTTATTTCAGTGTTTACGCTCGATGAAGTTGTGTGTTCAGTACATCACTCTGTACCCCATCATCACGCACTGTAGAGGCCACTTAACCCCACGGCATAAACAACTCCACGCGTGCACTTTTTGTCGTTTTTACAGCCCGCTGTCCACACATTCCCTTTCCACTTCCCAATTTTCAATAGGCAATCGCCACCCGTACTCATGGAGGCATGAGAAAAACTCAATCGAGATTAGTCCTAAAATTGAGCTCGCAGATCACAGGTTGGGTTCAGAAAGTTGTGCGTGGCGCGTAATTGTCGAGATGCCGAAGCCTTGCGCATATCGGGTCAAACGAACGCAAATTCTTTCCTTTTGCCGACCTCGAGCTGCGTGTATAGGTTCATGTAATTTGGCTATCTCGAGCTGAATCGAGCGAGCGAGAAAAACCCGATTGAGGGAAAAACTTCATCAGTGAAAGGAAGTAATTAGGCATGGCATCTCTTTGTGCCGGGCCTGGCGAAATATTTTAACCTGTATGGAACTTCCAGATTCTGAGTAATGCTTGATCATTGTGAGAAATTCCCTAGACTTCCGTGTAATTGCATTCGATTTTTGCCCTGCGATAATAGTGAGTGCTTTATATGTACTGTCAAATAAATAAATTTCTCTTACAAACGAGTATATTGAACAGTGAACATTGATCTGAGTTAGAAAAATCATTATGTATGGAAACAGGATGTGTTACTGAATTTCATTCAATTCTGACAGACCTTTGATCTCACTTGAGTAATTCAGTCACGTTAGAAAGCAAAATCTACAACATCAAGTTCTATCATATAATATGAACTGGTATCGCTGAACCGGTGGCCATTCAACGAATACCGCTCCAGATCCAACACTAATCATTTTGTAGTGAATATTTTGCAACCATAGTGAAACACTCCGTATGTGAAGCATTTAAAATCAACGAAATTGCGTTTTCTAGTCGTTTATCAACATTAATAAAGGCAGAACCAAAATACGGCGGACAGATCATTCGCTTAATTAATTAAGATAACCGCGTTCTGAGAAAAACTCCTGCTATAATAATTCATTTGCCTCTCGCATCAAACATTTAATTTTTAAATGGGCTTACATTCAGACGCCGAAAATTATGTTTCTGCATTATTTTACTGTGTTACAATTGCAGTGTTTAATTGTCATTCTGCACAAAACCAACAATAAGGTAAATACTTGCGCTGTCCCTAGTGCACATACTGTAATTGCAGGCAAGACCCATGGCTTGACAGCAGCCATGAAGCTCCTCAACGGCTAATGATTAACAAGGTTTGTCGACGTTAGTCACCGAATAAAATGTAGTCTATGTTATTTGCCTGCCGGAAATTTTCGCTTTATTATTCATTTTTGCAGACAAACTACATAGTAGGCAAGGTAGGGTCTGCAATATTTTCCGGGACACGTCAGTGACCCGTAAACTTTCGTTCCGAGATTCGCGAAGGCAATATTTGCTTGTCCTTATTCATGTTCCTTCTTCTTCGAGAAACAATCGCAGAGCTTTAATATGTTGGGGCATCCATTTATTTTCCCATCAAAAGAGCTTTTGCCACTAAATAAAAAGCTGTGCGACTCGAATCTTTTGTGCAATTGAGCGTCATGAAGGAGCTGCATACAATGCTCATATCCACTAACATATTAGTGCAGCGTACTCTACGTATGGCAATACGAGCGCAACATTTTCGTTACATGGATAACTGAACAAAATGAGCAGTTGTTTATGCGTTTCTTTCATGGGGCTGGATGACGCTCATTATCGACCTAGCCAGCAAAATGCGCGTTGAGTGCCTCTTGATTGAGGTAATTGCCGCTGCCAGACCCAGTTCAAATTTTTAGACGAGACCAGCCCCGGTCTTAGCCGGGTCTGCCGCGCTTTTGCCGTTTGAAGCCGTGAATTAATAACCGGACATCTATCTCTGAAACCGCACTACGCTATTGCTGATATAAGAGAAAATTTCAACAGCCCGGCAAGGCCGGAGAACGGCTCTGTTGTGGCTGTGCGAGATGTGCGAGATGGGCAGCAACCCACATACGCTGCCCGTACATTTCACTGGGGGGTTTGGGATAGGGAGTTGGTCATGAATTGGAATTAAGGGAGGGAACTTTATCATTTATCTAGTTCATGCCATAAAATACGCTATTTTGGTCCATTTCTGGTGCCAGTTATCTTTTTTACATCGCGAAATTATCATAGCTCCTCGAATTTCTTAAGAATTTTATTTTCTTTTCCAGTTTGAACACTTCGACAAACATAGAAGCTTACCCATGCTTTAAAAGAGGACCTATCAATAATTTGTTCTGGAATAAATTCTAAGGTATATAGAGAAAACGTTGTTAATTAACCAGGAATTAAAAAAAAGTAAATTGACCATATCTTGTAATAGGTTACCGCGTTTTGGAGCTGGTCTCCGAATCGCTTTCATCGAAGATATGGCGAATTTGCTTGCCGTTATCTCTGCTTTTAAAATATTGGTGAACTTGCGCTTAAAGCAGACTAATGGTAAAAGCACTGTTAATTTTCCTATCAACCCATCAAATGATATTAATCTCCGAAGGCGGAGAAATTAGAGACAGAGAAGGAAAAAATAATTTTAAAGCGTTGTCTACAATTAAAAGGTCAAACTCAACTGCCGCGCTCACTGCCAGAGCCGCGGCAGAGCTGGCTTTGAGCTGGTTGTAGCCAGAGGAGCTCGGTGAGGGCTGCGTGGTCGCAGGACAGAGCCCGACAGGGCAGGAGCTTGGAGGCGAATTTGCGCTTCTCCGCGCCTGGCTAAATCGTCTCCACTGCAGACATTGCTGCTTTGTCGCGTCTCTACGCCGGCCCAACAGCCGGCGACGGCAGTACTATTCTCTGACCTAAATTTTAACTGGGGAGACCAGCTCAAAGACTGCGTTCAGTTAACGAGACATGAGCTTCGCGAATTATTGCTTAAATATTAGATCAGCTGCAAACATCTGGGCCTTATCCAGCGCGTCTTGATGCAACTGTTTCAATTTTTACGGAGACTTGAAATAAAAATAGTAAAGTTTGCAAATAAAGTCGTACATGTTATGATCGAGCCGTGAAGCATTCATTATTTAATTATATTTTGAATTACTTAGATAGCGAACCGTGTCGGAAGTAATATAGGATCTGAAGAACTTTAAATTAATTTCTCAGCACAGGAAAAGAAGCTTTGCTAAATCAAATGAATCCAAAATGCTTAATATTTGCATAAATAAAGTTAGCTAAGAAATCAATCTCATATAATTAACATGGAAAATCCAGCGTATACATTCGTGTGCTACAAAATTCAAAGTATAAAATTATTGTGTCATTCACTTGTGAGTATCTCTAATTTGTTATCGTTATTAGTCAGATTAAATTACACCTCAGAAACCACACCGCAAAATATACATAATAACCACGGCACCCCAGCAAACGCTGTTCTCGTTTCTTGTAGAGGGAGCCGTGC